TTATTATTTTTTAAAATGCTTATAAGCTTATTGTATGTTTGTTATCAATGCGCTAGAATTTACTAATTAATAACAACATAATGAACTTAGGTCCCGCATACATTGAGGTTCGCTTTTCCAAATACGAAGTACTTGTTGACCCTTATTTAATAGTAACTATCCTTTTAACTCATTCGATGCACGGGTTATTACTTATGTTATTTTTATGTGTAGGTATGCTTTTCAATAGTTCAAACTTTTGACTTAAAATACGAAGTAATTGTTTCATGATCATTAAGGGGAGCGAATTAAATTGTACACTGCTAAAACTTAGTAAAAGAAAGAGAAAAGAGAGTGAGGGTGGGTGGAACAGTGGAAGAAGATGAAATATTTAGTTAGGTATAAACACATGAATATTATGGGATGTGAAATGACGTATTGATTAAGTTATATTTTAAATGTAGGAGATAAAAAAGAATATTTTTATTGTACTTCATATGTTTATTAATGTTTACAAATTATTTCAACTTTATTATATTATGGTGGAAACGAAACACTTCATTTTCTTACTCAATTTTGCAAGTTACAAAATGTACAAAAACTTTTAACATTATATATTTTTTTTATTTTAAGTTTTACAATAAAAACAGAATATAAAAAGGAAAGATTAAGAGGTGACATGTAGCATATAAGTGACAAATTACTCAAATGCCGCATGAGACTAATAAGGAGGTTTTGGAATGTAAGATGGGTTTGTTTGAAATCATGAAAGTATAGAATTCCCTTCTAGCCTATAATTCTCCATTCATTGCTTGACACCTTTATTTTGTTTAGGATGACATTCTACATGAATAAGTCTGAAATAACTTTTAGTGAATTACATGGGTTGCTAGTCAATGAAAGGAACATTCCCACAAACCAAAGAAAGAGGTTTTGACAATTCAAAAGAGGAAGGGTTTCAAAAATAAGGTGGTGGGCAAGAAGAAGAAGGGCAAGCAAGATGTCGTTTTTTATAAGCCTAAGCTGACCACTAAGCCAAAAGTTGCGTAAAGAAAATGTGACTATTGTGATAAGATAGGTCATTGGAAGAGAAACTACCCCTAATACTCCAAATACTTGGAAGGACAAGTTAGGTGCTTCCACTTCAGATATATACATTATAGAATTCGAAGACAAGAAGTCGGGTACTTCCACTTCAAGCATTTATGTTGTAGAAATCAATTTGACTTCTACTTCTTTATGGGTATTCAATACCGGTTGTGGTTCTCACATAGTTAATGATGTGCAGGGACTAAAAAGAAATGGAACACTAGCAAAGGGAGAGGTGGAGCTTCGCGTCGGAAATGAAGCAAGAATTGATGCACTTGTCGTCAGAAGTTGTTGTCTACATTTGTCGTCTAGATTAATTTTAGAACTTAAAAGTTGTTATTTCGTTCTGTTGATTACCAAGAAAATTATTTTTGTTTCAGTTTTGGATAATGAAGGATTTTGTTTTGAAATAAAGAACAAATGTTGTTTCAATTCTTACAATAACATGTTATGTGCTAGTACGAAATTGACTAATGGTTTATAAGTGCTTAGGACAGTACCGATCCATAACATAGATAATAAGAAACAATGATATAAACCCAACCGATCTATGACATTATCGGATGAGTAATATAAACCAAAAGTGCATCCAAAAGTTATAAAAGGATGGAATCCTTACGTCATGCAATTATGAATCTTTTGAGGTCTCTGAATCATGCTTTATGGGAAAAATGACAAAATCACCTTTTATGGGAAAGGGTAAAAGGGCCTATGAACTCTTAGCACTCATACATACAGATGTTTGTGGGCCAATGAGTTCAAAGGCAAGAGGTGGGTTTAATTAATTCATTACTTTCACTGATGATTTAAGATGATATGGCTATATCTACCTAATAAAGCATAAGTCAAAATCCTTTGAAAAATTCAAAGAGTTCCAATGAGGTACAAAATCAATTTGGTAAGACTATAAAAGCATTACGATCTGATCGTGGTGGTGAACATATGAGCCAAGAATTCAATGATCATCTAGAGGACTGTGGAATACTTTCCCAATTGACTCTGAAGTGCCATAATTAAACGATGTCTCTTTTAGGAGGAACCCAACTTTACTAAATATGGTTCAATCAATGATGAGTCTTGCTGATCTTCCAATTTCCTTTTAGGGATTTCTTTTGGAAACAACTACACACACTAAATAAAAGACCACCAAAAGATGTAGAAATGACTCCATATGAGATATGGAATGGAAAAATTCCAAACTTATCTTTACTTCAAATTTGGGGTTGTGAGGTACATGTAAAACGTTTACTATCACACAAACTTGCACCCAAATCAGATAAATGTCTTTTTGTGGGATACTTAAAAGAGACAAGGGGTTACTAATTCCATAATCGTCAAGAGAACAAAGTGCTTATTGCTCGTGATGGTGTCTTTCCAAAAAAGAGTTTATTTCCACAAAGACAAGTGGGAGTAAAATAGTTCTCGAAGAAATTTGAGATGAGCATCATATGAATGTGGCTCAAATCGCGCCATACACAAAGGCGCATAACTCTGTTATGATAAGTCAAGTCAAGTTAAAGCAAGCTAATTCATCAAGTCAAACTCTTGTCGTCCCACTTGAATCTTATTCATGCGAAAATCTTTGAGATGTTGAAGAGAACATTTCTATTGATGCTTGCCCCACGTAGGTCGAGTAGAACGAGAATTCCAAACAAGAAGTTGGATTTCAGTTAACTAAAGACTCTTAAATATTGATTTTGGAGAATTCAAAACCTAATACAAACAAGCAAGCTTTGATATCACCTAAGAAATGGCTTGAGGCCATCAAATCCGAAAAGGACTCTATGTTTGAGAATAAAGTTTGAACCCTAGTTGGCTTGCCTAATGGGTAGTACTACCTATTGGTATAAGGATGTATTGACTCAAGCATTAGGGTGACACCTATTGGATTACAAACCTTATCGATATAAGTGTCTTGACATCAATAGAAAGTTGTGTTTCCATGAAAGACCTTGGAGAAGCTAAGTACATATTGGGAATAAAAATTAATAGAAATAGGTCTCGAAGGATGATCGGACAGGATTGAGTCAAGACACTTATATCAATAAGGTTTGTAATTTAAAGTCAATAAATGCAAGTCATACTACAAAGAAGCATTTCACGCGGAAAAAGAATGATTTAGTTACTAGTCTTTTTCGAAGGAATGCTTAGTTACTAGTCTAGCTATAGGGAAAATCATCCATATGGTAGTTGCTAGATGGCCAGTAGTTCAGTGGAAAGTGATGAAGGGAATATTAGGGTTCCATGCACTTGAGTAATTGGGATACCAAAGGGGAAGAGAGACTGGATTGTCATGCAATTCATCAACATTTAAGGGAAGAAAAATTGGTGTTAAGGATATTAAATGAATATTGAATTTGTCTTATAAAGTAAAGAACTATTGAGAAGGATAAGGGGAACTTGGCAAGAAAGAAAAAAAAAGGACTCTTTATTGCATAAATGAAATTAAACCCGAGAAGTTTCAAACATTTTCGATCTATAATATTTAATTTATATTTGATTTTTTAGATTATAATCCCATAATCCTACCAAAATGAGACATGAAAGCATTTTGTGGTTGCAAGGGCTTCTAACTCTTTCAAAAGGTAATCATTTGGTGAAAGTATAGTGTTCTGATGATGAGACAAAAGGTGGAATTTCAAGAGTCAGCTTAAGAGTGAACCCACGGGTAGTGCTATCAGTCATTGTATTATCATGAATGACTAAATGTACAAGAACAATGGATGAGAGAATGGGCCATTCTTTTAAATACCTTTCTTCGGGACAATAGTTTTAAGTACAACAGAATACGTAGTATTAAAAGATCCAGTAAAAAAAATTTCTCAGCAATATCCACGAAGATGCTGATTTGTAGCTAATTTTTCAATGCTTGTAGATATGAAGACTGAAGTACATTGACCCTTGGTTTTAAAAAACGCGCCTCGCTCCCAGGCTCTAGGAAATGGGCTTTAGCTAGCCAGTCACCTACGGAAGGCGCGCGCCTCGTGCGCCTCAAAGCGCCTTTGGTAAGGTGCGCCTTTGCGCCTCAAGGAAAATAGCTGAGATATAAGTTATAAATTGAAGAATGATGGACACTTTTTTTAAATTTAGACTACCTTAGCTTTACATATATTATTATTTAATTTATTATGAATCTTTTTAATTGGTATTAAGTACAATCAAAGTAAAAAATAATTTGAAATAAATATGTAAATACATGCGCCTTGCATACAAAAGGCGCGCGCCTTCGCCTTGCGCCTTCGCCTAGGCTGCAAGGACCATTTGTGCCTTGGTGCGCCTTGCGCCTTTTAAAACTAAGCATTGACCTCATTCGTGAAACATGATGTGCTTGATCTAATAATTGAGCTCCATTTCAACCAAAAGCATCCATGAATAGCAAAGACCTATATTTTACTTAGTTCCTATAGTGCAAAACCCACGAATAGGAATAATAAACTTAAGTGTTCTCCGTGTAGATATCAGAAAAGGGTTTAAATTAGTTTCAAGAAGCTTTTCCAACAGCTTCATATATACATCTTGTCCACATGAATGATGATATACATGAAAGAAGAATGATCATCATAGAAGGATGATGGACATAAAGATACGAGGAAGAAACTTCACACATTGAGTGAGATTGTTCACTACCACAGACATATATCTTGATAAAGCTCTGCTTAAATATAATTCACATATCGAATTAAAACTGTTGTTTGGTTTATCATTTCAAAACCAACTGTTTTAGAATCCCAATCTAAGGCATATGTCAGTCATAAGGCCTTGCAATCATTTCTAGGCAAAATGTTGTGGAATACATGCTATCAATTTTTAAAATTCCATGGTAGAAGTCCCATACAACAATTATAGCACAAACGAATATCAGACCTCCATTGACCATGGACAACCTCATATAATATTAAATGGCTGAGACATGTCTAAGAGTGTTAGGTTACCTGGACAAGTGGGATTGCAGCCAAACGTGCAGCTACATCATTAGATGACTTCTGACACTCTCTCCATAGCAGATTATGAGCAGGCATATCTCCATAGCTGCTTATAGAAGAAGAGTTTAACATAATACAAAGTAAGAAATTGAAGACATTGCATCCATTATATCACTATGAAACACAAAGCTTAAAGAGCACTCATTAGTAATTACCTGAAACCAAGTTCAGATAATCTTTGTGAACACCAAGCAAAATGTCGACTCTCATCATCAGCAACATGAGCAAAATCAACAAAGAACCCCTCTCCGAGAATCTCCTCGTATGGAGAAAAACGGACGACAGTATCCCAAGCTAAGTCAATGGCATTTAACTCTACATGAGCAAGGTTATGAAGCATATATGCATTGAGCGGCAACCCGGAATCCTTAGGAGTTGGAATATACTTAGGAGGTACCTACATTTTGCAGAATTGGCACCACTTACTAATCATATGATTAAAGATAAATCTAGTACTACTAATTACAACCCATAAAATAGAGACAAATTGAACCCATTAAATGCAATGTGACACCCATTAAAACCTTATTAAAGTGGTACATTCTCTATCACCGTATTATTACCTTGACAATATTTATTTTTTTATCCAAAGATACATCATACTTTGAATACAATATTCAGAAATTAAAATTACTTTTACAAATTAGATATTAATTTCACTGATCAAAGGTTAAATTCTCTATCAACAATTTATTACATTGACAATATTTATTTTCTCAATCAAAATAAACATGCTACCAAATAATTTATACAATACCCAGAAATTAAAATTACCCTTACAAATTAGAGTTTATTTCAATACAATGAGGGAGAAAGAAGAATGTACCAACTGGGGCTTACACGGCCGTGCAGGGCGAGAAGGCGGGTCGAAAACCCCAATGGGGAGCTTCTCAGAACGCCATTTAGAATAAGCAAAGTGGGAAAGCTGGGATTTTGCAATTGGGTCACTAGTGGAGAGAACCATAGCACCAAGCTCAGCTAAAGATGAACCTGACCCACTTGGGATTTCGACTTGGTCAGGCTTCAATGGTGGTTCGGGGCCACTAGAGCCCCAGGCGCGGTCTTGGTTAATTGAACTCTCTCTCCATTGTTGTAGACCTGACCATTGATGAAGATGGGAAGAAGTTGTGAATGGTTTAAATTTGAATTTGGGGAGGAAGAGATGAGGGTGCTTGATTTTAGTGGCGCAAAGCATGATGCTAGTTCTTATGCCATTGAAGTGTTTTAGAATTGATGTTTTATTACATTTGGATACAATTATAGGCCTATTCGAACCGTTTGGTTTGATGTAAAACATTTTTAATGAAAAATTAGCTTCAAGTAAAAGCACAATTACAAATTAGTTTCGTTCACAAATTCTAATATGTGGTTGGCCGGTACTTCGTTAGTGTTATAGAGATTATCCAATCATTGTTCAACGGTTATTTTGTTACTATTATAAGGGTTACGTTGTTAGTGTTATATGGGTTACTCGGCCAGTTTTACGAGAGTTACTCGGTTAGTGTTTTAGGGGTTACTTTGTTAATTTGAAAGCAGTCATATGGTGTGACTAGTTGCACACAAGACGTCCTGGTTTTCCTTCATTTGGTTGCTTACAAGGTAAGGAAGAGGGAGGAAAATATAGCTTCCCTTATTTTATGAAATAAAATGTTTTCCACCATTAAGGTTGTATTTTTCACCATTGGAAAAGTTATTTTTCACCAATTCACAAACCAAACAAAGAAAAATATGAAAATCATTTTCCATGAAAACATTTTACTTCAAAGCAAATAGGGCCTTTATTTCACCTTATTTTTGCTGAAATAATGAAATTATTTTAACTGAAGTGAAATTATTTTTATTAATTATATATTATATTTCTTCTTTATATTTTACTGAATTGAACTTATTTTTAGTAAACTGAAATTATTTTTACTGAATTGAACTTATATTTGCTTATCTGAAATTATTTTTACTAAATTTTATTTTCTTAAAGTGAAGTGAACAGGGTCTGTGTTAAGATCGACTGATTTAAATTTATAACTTATTAATTAAATTAGATCAAATCAAACCAAATTAAAATAGATTAGATAAGATCAGATCAGATCAAATTAGATCTAACTGATTATGTGAAGTCGAAGGTTTCTTTTAGCAGAGGACTCAGTGTCGAGCAAAAGTGTGATATAATGGGTACTTTTTTTTTAACACATAAAAACGAAATATATTACTTAATTATAGTTTTACAATTAAGAGACCCAACCTCATTCCGCAAGACAAAATGTGAGGTTGGTAAATAGCTAAAACCATAAGACCATATACAAGAGTAAAAATTAATGGTCTTACTACTAAAACATAATGTGCCCCTTCGAAAAGCAATAAAACCAAGGTTTAAGACAGCAACTAAACTAGAGAATACATACACCAGCAACAGATTACTCCTCGTCAGAGTCTTCATCAGCATTCAGAGCAGCTACAGCAGCAAGCTCCGTATTGTAAATAGGCAGGATAGACTCAGGACAGGTAAGATACAGTCGATGCCCAACACTCATACTCATTCCAATTTGAGCTAATTCATGAGCAACAGCATTGTGAGTTCTCTTCACATGAAGGATTTCAAAGGTGTCAAAATATTTGATATCCTCCTCAATATCCTTCACCACAACAGCCAATTCATGATGGAGAGTACTACTTGCTCAATTGAGCATGACACTGAGAGAAAGCGCATCCACTTCTAATTCCAGATCCTTCACCTCCAGCCTTTTAACCATAGCAATACCCTCTCTGACTGCTAGCAATTCATTTGCAAAGGCTGTAATTGCATTGTACTTGCTCGAAAAACCCATGATCCAAGACTCATCATCCCTTCGCACGACGCCTCCTCCTGCCACATTGATGGAAGTCCAAGCTCCATCCGTATTGAGTTTGACCCAACCCTTTGGAGGAGGACTCCAAGAATTCTGACCATTCGAAGTGCTTGGAATATTCGTGGCATGTGCTTTGCCCTGCATTATGTGATTAGTACACTGATAATCTATAATGAATCTACTAAAAACAAATCGAGAATTAAAAATTGTAAGGTCAAAAACAGCTATATTCCTTTGCTTCCAGATATGCCAAATAGCTATTGTGAATGTCATCTGCCAGTGAGCATCGAAAGTTGGATTAAAGTTAATCCATTCATTCCAATCTAAGGCAAAGAAACTATGAAAATTAAAACTAGAAAGGGAGATGAATTTTAGCAAAGATATTCTTCCATAATATAGCAGAGGAAAAGCAATCTCGATGGTGAAGATGAGATTCATTATATAAATTACATCTAGCACACATAGGGGAGACGAAAGGCATAAAAACAGTTAAATGTTCAGCCACAGGAAGGATGGTGTGAACAACATTCCAAAGGAGCATTCTATATTTCGAGGGCACAGTCACTTTCCAAAGAGATTTCCAGGAAGGGAAGTAAGGAAAAGGATGATAAGTAGGTGATATAAGAAATTGATAGGCCGATTTGATAGTAAACTCACCTGACTTGGATAAAGACCAATGAATAAAATCCTCAAAATTGGAAACTCTAGAAATTAGAGTAGCTAAAATAGTAGAAATCAAGGAATCAGATAACAGATGTCTAATATCATCCAAATACCAGACCCCATCTCTTATGATACGATTAACATGCTAGTGTGCCATAGAAGGAGGAATGTCACTAGAAATAAGAAGATATATAGGAGCTGTACTCACCCAGTGATGATACCAAAGAGAAGTAGAAACACCATTGCATATCCCAATTTTCAAGCCTGAAGCGAGAAGATGCCTACCTTTAAGAATGTCTTTCCAAATTGGAGAATGAGAAGATTTTGGAGCACAATAAAAAAAAGGGCCTAATGTTTAAGATATTTTTCATTAAAAATTCTCACCCATAATTTCGAAGGATTAGTTAGGAGAGTCCAACCTACTTTAGCCATAAAACACATATTCCAATCCCTTAACCTTCTAATGCCTAATCTACCAGCATCTAAAGGCATTGTAACATACTTCCAAGCAAGCCAAGGGCTATATGGGAGTTGTTTTTTAATGAACAAAAGCTAGATTGAGTTATTAAATCCCAAGATCTTAATCTAATGGAGTGTTCTTGAAAGATCTTGGTAAAAGGGGGAAGAATAACTAATGTCTACGATTGTAAATCCAAAGGGAAAGATTGCTTCATTGATGAAAATTTATGTGAAGTCGTATAAATTATTCCCAAAAAAAAAAAAATACAACACACATAGTTTCTACAAAGAGAAGCTATTGTGTACGGATGCCTGAAAGCAAAATTTTGTGCAGATGTTTTGGCTAATATGTTTTATCTGTTGGCTTATATGTTTCATGTGTTAGCTGATATATTTTATTTGTTGACTAATATATGATTTTCGTTTTGGCTAATATATATTTTTTGTTGGCTGATGTGATTTTTTTTTTCATTTTGTTGGCTTATATCAGTCATCGTTTGGCTTATATATTTCTTTAGTTGGGTGATATATTTATTTTGTTGGCTGATATGTATATTTTAGTCATGGGCTTATATGTTTCATTTTATTGGCTTACCTGTTTCTTTTGTTTGCTGATTTCATCCTTTTGTTGGCTAATATGCTTCCTTTGTTGGCTGATATGTTCCTTTTGCTAGCTGATTAGCACTTTTTTTTTGGCTAATATATTTTTCTTGTTGGCTAATATATTCCTTTTATTCGCTGATACGTTTTTATTATTGTCCTTAATGTTGACAAATATTAAACATCAATTGGCTGATATGCAATGTTTGTTGGCTGATATGCAATGTATGCAAAATGCAATATCACCAAACATCGATGATTCAATGCCATGCCACCTTTTTCCTTCTCTCTCCTCTCTTTCCTTTCTCTCCTCGTTCCCTGATAGGGTAAAGTCGTATCCCCTAATCAAAAGAAATTCCTAAATCCTCTAACTAATGTAGATAGGGAAGTAGGGTCGAATCCACAAAGAAACGATTCTTTCTATTCCTAATTAATTAATATAGTATAGATTATGAAGTAACCAATATATTATAATCAAAAGGAACTAAACTACGAAGAATAAGAATAAGGAGAAAACAATGAATTAAAAGGCCTAGGGCATAGGTTCACCAATAAATAATATTCCAGGGTAAAACATAATAATCAATCATCAATGCATACATTAATAAGATCATAAGGGCTTTCGCTACGTATAAATTAATCTACCGGTATTAAATCTCATCTCTCGAATCTCGACTTAATCATTTATAAATTAACCTGCCTATTGAAACTAGACCTAAACATCAATTCTCATCTATCGAATCTCAAATCAATATTGTCAAACTCATGCGTAAAAGATTTGCGCAAATCTAGTCACAAAGCATCAAATCAATCAATAGGAAATTAATCTAGCATTGACAATTAACAACAATAAATTACCCCTTCATATTATTTATGGATCCCCACAAACCCTAGAAATAAAACTACTCACACATAATTAAATCTAAACAAATCAAAATAATAAAACAAGACATGATCAAAAGAATAAAATAAATAACTACTATCAAGAGAAGAGAAATCCTTACCAAAAATCTGGAATTAAGAATAGAGTTAAGAACAAAGTATATGAGAGAGAAACTAATCTAAAAGCTAAGTAGAGAGAGAAAATCTAAGAAAGAATTAAGAGAGAGTAAAAGGTGGTCTCCTAAACTCGCTTAACGGAAAAGTATTTATACTAAGTAAGAATCCTAAACTAAAACAAACTTAAACAACGCTAATCGTCTCTTAATAATAACACGGGCCCGATCGGGCGAGGCACCGCCCGATCGAGCGTGCCTATTTCTTCCTCTCAAGTATAAATCTCGCGCCTGGCCGGGCGCGAGTTCGGGCGCCAGCCTTTGCTTCCCTCGCCCGGCCGGGCGCGCCTCCGGGCGCCAGCCTCTTTGGCCGGGCGGCTCTCTTGGGCCACTATTTGGACTTCGATTGGGCTCCAATTCTTTGGGCCAATCTGGATTTCCTCTTCGGGTCTTGAATACTTGGTCCAAATGCCCCGGTATCACATATACCGAGCCCTTAATCACCGGTTCGATGACCCTAACCGGCCCTGGGCTATAGAAACTGATCGTGCTTCTCCAATGCCCGTAATTGCTCCATAATATCTCGCGAAAATGCTCCAAAAGTGCAAATCCCTGCAAAAGTCAACCAAATCTACAAAAACACTAGAAAACACCAATTAGTAATAA